GGGGGCGCCGTCCATCTGCTGTGGGCCACTGAGGAGTGGGCGGACACCCAGCTCACCCGCACAGCCCAGCACCAACTCCCTGGCCCGTCGTGGGTGTCACAGGGGTAAGGCACAAAGCTCTCATTGGCTGACGGTCAGAACGAGGTCACCAGCCTCCCCTGCTAATCCGTCCTTGCCCGGAAGCCCTGCTGAAACCCGGTGAGTGGCACAGCCACACAAGCCACCCGCGGCGGCTGGGAGGGGGCTGCCCAGGAGGTGGAGGGGGACGGAGGGCATGTGTGGGAGAGGATGGCCGTGAGGCTCACAGTCTGCTGAGCAGAAGCTGGACGGCAGTCCTGGAAAGACAACATCTGTGCCAACAGAGACCAGCGGTGACATCAGAAGAGAAACCGGGCGCAGTGCCATCAGACAGTGCCCGCGAGGAGCATTGGGGTCAGAGATCTTATCCAAACCAGTATGCCCAGATTTGGTTCACAGATGGGGAGGGACTGGGGATTCCAATGCTGCCGGGCTGAAGACCCCCCAGAGCGATAGTGTCCGTCGGCTAGAAGACTGACCACCCAGCACCCTCACTGAGGCCATCCCCATGGCCACTGCTCAGTCCAGGCCCTCCATGCCGCTCTCTGGACAGCTGTGTCTTGGTGCACTCCACTCACCTGTTCTGCAGGTGAGCAAGAGCCTGCTCGCACCACTGCCTTCTTTCCCAACACGCCTTCAATGGGACCCCTGTGCCAAAAGTGGGTCTGTTTTGAAGGGGAAACACATGCGGGTGGAGCCCCTGGTGACTCCCCTTGGACTGTGCCGGGGGTGGGGACAGCCTCGCAGGCAGGCAGGTGCAGTGGGGTGAACGTGCAGCGCCCTGTCTTCGATCTCCCTCGGGATCCCTTTAAATGTGCGCCGGTTTTGAAACGCATGTGAAATCGTTCACTTTTGATGAGGAGGTCAGCACGGGCGTTAAAGGCCTGTGCTTACCGTGCTTCCGGGGCCTCTGCCCCTCCCAGGGCTCTGCCTGCAGGTGAAGACCGCAGGGGCCAGCAGATCCAGGAGCTGAGCCTCTGTAGCGGGCAGAGTAAATCACAGGCCTCACTACAGCTGAGTCAGTAAGCACACACAAGCCTGTGTTTACCTTGCTCCTGGCCGATAAACCTCCACCCAGACGCTCTGATGCCCGGGGTTTAAGGGCCTCTGTGAAACCCTGCCCCCCCTGGTCAGTGTGGGCCCTCTCTGTACCAGAGCCCTCTGGCTGCCCCCTGGGCACCCGGCCCTGATGTGGTCTCTCTGCTCTGCCTTCAGGGACGTCCATAATGCCCGAAGGGAGGAGCGAATGGAACTGGGCGTCCACTGGGTCTCCAGCCCCTGCCCCAGCAGAGGCCAGCATTGCCATCCTTCCTGATGGGTCTCATTCTCGGACGGTGACTGTAGGTTTCACTGTAATTCACAGCCACGTGGTCCCCCTGGCCAGCCGGGCAGCGCCGCCACATGTGCTGAGACCTGACCTTGCTCCGGCTCCTTGGCCTGTCCTCCTAGAAAGGACCCAGGCATCTTTGCTGCCAAGGCATTGGGTCCAGCCTGGCCACAGCCAGTAAATAGTACCGTGTTCTCTCAGCAGCCGGCTCAGTCAGCCCCACGTCGGGACTGGGGAGCTGTACAAACAAGATTGCAGATCTCGGGTGGAGAGGGCTCCCAGCCGAGGAGCCCGGCGGGCGGCCCGTGGCGCTGGGTCATCATGTCTGAGCCGACTGCCCATTTTGTCCCAGCACAAAAAGTGTTCAGAGCGGAGCCTCACGGAACACAGTGCCCTCTGTTCTCGGCCAGCCTGGGCAGAGAGCTCTTTGTGAGCCTGAATAACTCCCCTTGGGAACTGGGCAGCAGGCTGCCCAGCCTGGGAACAGATGGTGGCTGGATTTAACCCCTGACCTTCTGCGGGCATCGCCGTTGCCCTACATCAACTCCCGAGTGCCCTCCTGCGGGATGAGGGACAAGAGCAAGCTAACAGGTGCGTGCCACCCCCCACCCCTTCCCACCTGCAGCCACCTGCAGGACAGAGCAGGTTTGCCACTCCACAGAGCTTCCAAGGCGGCAGGTCTTTGCAGATCAGACGATCCATCATTCTCCCCTGGAGCAGCAGTGAGCTGGAAGCGCCAACCCTTTTTGATTGGCTGTTGCGTAGCCAAATATTTTACCCACCACCTCACCTCGCCAAGCTTCCTGCCTGGAGAGCCACGTGGGGGTGACTACAGGAAGCTCTTTGACATGGTAGGCAAACCCACCTTGGTGGGGGTCAAACACCTGCTGAGCGCTAGAGCTGGGGCCGTCCTGGCAGAGGTGCGAGAGGGTGCGTGCTGCGCCCTGGCAGGACATGCGAATGATCCCGTGTTCCCTGAAAAGCATCCAGTTGTCTGCTCCCGTCTCCCTTCCCATCAGAAAGCGTCTCACTTTGTTCTCATGGTGGGAATGGAGCACAAGCCGAGGAGGGCGGTTGGCCCTTGCTGTGTGTGCAAGAGCCTTAAACCATGCCCTAGCTGTTGGTAAAGACCAGGGGGGAGACCAGGGTGGTGGGTGCTCCCGGACTCGCGTTGCTTGACCGGGACAGGACGACCGGTGCAGCGTTTACAGTCTCAAGGCTCAGCTGTGTTCTTTATGAGCAGGTGGTGTGACGTGACACCACCTGTTGTCAGTGTGAGACTTAGGAGTGAAGGGTGGAGCCTACCTGTCAATCAGGTTGCAGCTTGATGACCTCGTTTGGAGGCGCTAAGGTGAGAAATAGCTCGTTGGTGGTGGGACACACGCTCAGTCCCTGGGAGACATTCTTGTTGACAAGCCACGTGGAAAGAGGTTGATGTAGCCAGAGCCTTGGAGCTGGAGAAGCCACGTGGAGACCCCTGCCAGTGCTGAGATGCATACTACGCCACTGGATCCACAAGACTTTCTACCCACTGGCCTGTGATCTTCCTGCATATGGTGTCATTATATGTGTTTCGTAAGTCTGAAAAGGAAATTATAGACTGGTATCAGACATGGGCTAATATCAGACTTATGGACTTGATCTGGACGGGGCTGGGATATCTTCTCAATATTCAACTGCTCTTGTCTATAAAGCTCTTTCTTACACACATATGAGTGTCTATGAATTTGTTTCTGTAGTCTACCTGGACTAACAGGTTGGGTCAGCCCTGGTGAGAGATGGGGCAGAGGGGCGGCCGGGGGGAGGGGGGTGGAACAGGCAGGTGAGGCGAGGCTGACTCTGTTCAGCAGTGTAAATGCACGCCTGGCTGTCACGAAGAAACCTTCGTGTGTGTGTGTGTGTGTGTGTGTGTGTGTGCGTGTGTGTGTGTGTGTCCCCGAATCCCTCCAGTTGAGTGAAGACATTCCTTTGCAGACTGCAGCAGCTCGGGGGAGCCCACGTGGAGCAAACACAAAAGAAGCCTGCCCTGCGCACATCCCAGCCAAACTGCCGGAAAGCAAAAGAAACAAGAACCTCGGAAGCAGAGGGTGCGTCACAGGCTGCAACCATGGGTGAAGAACCGAGGCCAGAAGTTGCTGGAATGTTCTGGAAGGACCGGGAGGAAAGGATGGCGGTTCTCCCAGAAACCCACATCCAGAGGATGCAGACGGAACAAAGATCCTTCCAGGCAGAAGGAGACGCAGAGGTGTGTGGTCCGGCCGAGCGGTGCCGCAGAAAAGTGAGAGCATGTGGGCAAGGGGGGTCTTCAGGCCGAAACTGTGACTCTGGAGAAGAGTTCAGAGCTGCCAACCCAAACCCCAAACAAACTTCCTGCCACGGAGGCGGTGCCCACTGGTGCCGCCTGCAGGACAGAGTAGCACTGCCCCTGTGGGCTTCCCAGACTGGCCCTCTTCAGGGGAGCAGAATGCCTCATCTCTCCCCGGACTGGTGACTTCAAACCGCTGCCCTTGGCGTGACATGGGAACGATCTGGGCGAAGATAAGAGAGCTTTCCTTTCTAATTTCTTTAAACCACGGACGAGTGTTCAGAGCAAGAATCAGATACTGCCTTCTGGGGTTCTGGACCGTGTGGATACGTGTGGCAACGCTAGCATGGAAACCAAAGCCCTCGCTGCCGTCAGGCCTGTGCTGCGTCAGAGGGACCCTAAGGACAGGGCAGAACTGCCCCTTGTCAGTGTCCGGACCGGAACTGTGTATGGGAGTAGAAAGCAGCATCTTTCTCCCGCAGAGTGGCTGGTGGTTTCAAACTGCTGACCTGGTGGTTAGCAGCCCAGGTAGAGTTCATCGCATAACCCCTCTAAGGTGTGCATCGCAGTACGGACCCTGTACGTGTTGCTAGATGCTGTGCATCGGCTCAGGAAGCACTGGCCGGTCCTGCATCCCCCTCACACCCCATGGTTGTAGTCCCTACGTCGGCCCACCTTGTTGGGGGCCTTCCTCTTTTTCCTTGTCCCTCTACGTCCCCAAGGACCATGATGTCCTTTTCCAGGGACTGGTCTCTCCGGACAGCTTGTCCAAACATGTGAGACAAGCCTTGCCATCCTTGCTTCTAAGGAGCCCCCGGCCATGCTTCTGCCAAGCCGGATTGGTGTGTTCTCTGGCACACCACACTGTGCTGAGGATTCGGCCCCGGAATTCAAATTCCTCTCTTCGGCCTTCCTTATCTCGGGAATTAAAACCAGGATGGATATTGCGGTCCTGGAGCAATAGCTGGGAAAAGTCTGCACAGAGGACTTGCCAAGCTGACAGACAGACAGATGCCGTCCCTGTTCCAAAGGCCTGGCTAGGAGCAAGAACCCCGCCCGGGGCCCAGGTGGACCAGTGAGCAGCTCTCGGTGCGACCTTGCCCTGAGTCTTGCCTGGCTGAGCAAGAGACTGCACATCTTAGTGGAGACTGTGCCCAACGTGGGGGTGTTCTCGGGATCAAAGAGGCCACTGTGCCACGTGTGCTGCACTGTTCTCCCTTAAAGGTTTGTTCTCATGCTGCCAGAGATAATGGCCCTTCCACCTCCCACAACAAAGGCAACTCAATCTCTGAACCCTGATCACAGGGCTCGATCGCCGGCCCGCCAGCCGACTGCATCAGCAAGCAGGGTCGTCTAAGGCCGTGGGTGGGGGCCACCGTGGCACGAGGCGGCTCAGCATCCAGCTAATTGCCTTCAGTCCCTCAGAAGATCAAACAAAGGCCCTGGACTTTGTACAGCCACCTGAGAAAGTATCACACATCCCCCCCCCACATTTACACACACCACACTCATACACACGCGTGTGTACACATTTACACACACCACACTCATACACGCGTGTGCACACATTTACACACACCACTCATACACACGCATGTGTACACATTTACACACATACACACGTATGTACACATTTACACACACCACACTCATACACACATGTGTACACATTTACACACACCACACATACACACTTGTGTGTACACATTTACACACACCACACTCATACACACGTGTGTACACTTACACACACCACACTCATACACACGTGTGTACACATTTACACACACCACACTCATACACATGTGTGTGTACACATTTACACACACCACACTCATACACACGTGTGTACACATTTACACACACCACACTCATACACACGCGTGTGTGCACATTTACACACACACACATACACACCGCCCATAGAAAGTACCAGCATCCTTCCAGACTCGCAGTAATGACCCCCTTGGGGTTTTAAGTACCAGGAGGCTTCGCTCAGCAACGTGGGCCCTGGGGGACGAGATTGCAGATAAGCTGGCTGAGGTGCCCAGCCCTCTTTGAGGCCAAGCTACTTCTCCGGGCACATGTGAGCCACCTGGGTGGTCCCCTACTGGGCCTGCCTGCCATGAATCACACACTCCAGCCCGTTCTACGGGGGATGCAGCCCAGGCCCCCTGGCCCCCATGAGGAACTAGTCCCACACCAGCCCGAAACCCTTGGCTTTCCTGGGCCTCCCCAGCCGTGAGTGATTAAACAGCCTGGGCCCTGCGAGCGAGCCAGTCAACAAAGAGGTCCTGAGACTGGCTGGCCCGCAGCTTCTCCGCCCGACCGCTCTGTTTGCTTGCTCACAGTCAGCAGTTGCTTCCTGGGGCCCGAATCCTGCAGTCATGTGTAGCGTCTGTACACGACTCCCCAGAGGGTAAATCCCTCGGCCAAAGCGATGTCTTCTCCCTGTGTTCTGATTTCAAGCGGGACGCCTGCAGGCGGTCCGTGTTGCACAGTGGGGTCTCCTCGCCGGTGCACCGTCCACAGATCCTGGCCAGAGTTGGGGGCTGGCTGCGTGACTTCAGGGCTGCATGTCAAGGGCCAGGGTTTGTCCCAGGGTGACTGAGTCAACCAACCGTCACCCCCATTCCGAGGACCAGAGATCGTCAACAGAGACCATCCTCCCTAAAGACGCCCAGCAGGGGCCGTTTCCAGGGTCCTTGTTTCATGGACGGTCACTCTGCTCCGGCAGTGGGGGTGAGCCCTGGACTGCAGGGCCGGCAGCAGGCATCGTGAACGCCGTGGGGGAGCCTACCACGTCCCATCAGCGTGTCAGAACACACCCAGCCAAAGAGGGCTCCTCCAGGGAACAGGTTGGCACAGGAAAACACAGGAGAACACTTCCGATTATTGGCCAGTCTGCCCAATGCGGCCGGCCGATACGGCGGAGGCTCATGATTGAGATTCCTCGTTACCATGGCTTGTCTCTGAAGGGTCCCTCAGGAACGAGGGGACTGTGGATCACAGGAGGCTGAAGAGGCACAGCCTGTGGGACCCCGCATGACAGGAGCCCCCCACCATGGAGAATCAGAGCGTGGCTGCTGAGGGGGCTTGGTTTCCTGTGGCCGCTGTGACCACCTGCTGTCAGCCAACAGGGCTTCCTTTGCTGGCGGTTCCAGAGACCAGAACCACGGAGTTTTGTGGAGTGGCAATCCTTGGCGATCCCTGGTGACCTTTGGCAATCCTTGGCGATCCCTGGTGACCTTTGGCAATCCTTGGTGATCCTTGGCATATAGCTGCATCTCTTCATCCCCTCTTTCTGTAATCCCGTGCAAGGATCCCAGGTCGTGTAGTGGTTACGCGTTTGGCTGTGATCCACACGTCTGTCAGTTCGAAACCACCAACAGCTCCGTGGGAGAAAGACTGGGCTTCCTGCTCTTGTCAAGTTACAGAAGCCCACGATGGGGGGTGGAGGGTGGGGGGTGGGGGTGGGCGGTGCGGTCTCTGTGAGTCAGCACTGACTCGATGGCACTGAACATGGTTGGTTGTCCATCCTGCGAGCCCTCCCTGTGCTGCTGTGTCTTCTCAACTCACAAGGAGACTAGTCCTTGGATTTAGGGCCTCCTCCAGCATGGCCTGCCCTGACCTTGATGGTATCTGCCAAGACCCTGCTGCTAGAGACACAAGGTTCGGACCCAGTAGAGCGGCATCCTGCGGGATCCAGGCTGGCACCTTCAGAACTGGCCCCCCACGTCCCCCAGAGTCTTCCAAGGGCGTCAGCAGAGAGCGCTCTGTGCATGCGGGGAGCCTCCCAGCCAGTCCCCAGACTGCCAGGAGTCCCTTCACATGCCCGAGGACTGCGGCCCTCAGACGCCCCTCCCTGGGCCACCACCACCACACGCTTCCTCTCCCATCTGCTCTGAGTGACAATGGTCCCGTGGATGACGCATTAGGCTGCTAACTGCAAGATCAGCGCCTCGGGCCCACCAGAAAGAGGAGCTTTATGTTCTGGTAAAGATGGACAGTGTGTTCGTCTGGGCTGACTAGAGGAACAAAGCCAAGGAGACTCAAGTATGTGTAGGAAAGAGCTTTACATCAAAGAGTAATTGACTACTGAGAAAACATCCCAGCCCAGCCCAGATCAAGTCCTTAATT